CCCCAAAACCCCAAAACCCCATAATGGGAAATTTGAAGGGAATACAGTGTAGTCTTGAAGATTAAAATTAATAAAGTAAAATCTAAAACTGTAGATTATGATTAATCGCATAATAAACTTCCTTTCATTTTAAGTGTTTTTTCTTAAGCATTTCAGTCATTGCTTCGGTGAATTCATCAAAGCTGATTAAGTTATCATTGTTCTTATCAACTTCATTCATTAATTCTTACCAAAGACTTTCATCTTTTTTGTCCTCAGCATTGTCAAAGCATTGCTTCAACTCATCGATTGTAATAGAACCATTATTGTCTAAATCAATAGACTAGAATGCTGAGATAAGATTCTTTTTGTTCAGAATAGCCACCTTATCAATTGCAGCTGTAATAAACTCAGTATAATCAACAACTCCGTTTCCATCTTGATCCATTGAAGCCATCATATCTTTATAATCGATTCTTGAGTTACCCAGCTTTCCCTTCAATTAATTGATTCCTTGTTGGATTTCTTCTATTGAAAGAGTTCCATCCTTGGATGTATCGAGTTGCAGGAATAGTTGCTTGAGTTCTTCTAACTCCTCTGAGCTAGTTTTCATGCTCACTAAGAATGAAAGTACTCCGACTTAAAACTTGCCTGCATTCTATAAAAGTATTTTAATCTTAATTCAACAATTCGAAATCTTACTCTAAATTCTCTGAGGTTATTGATGACATCAAGCTACACTTCTTGTGTAACTTGCTTATTATTAATATGCTTAATAATCCAGGCGTGATCTAATAAATCCTTTGCATTAGCTCTTCTTGTGTGATCTTTCTAGAGTGCTAGTCTAATGAAGTCCTTAGCATCTTAAGAGATTTTATCCCAGATTTCGTGATCGAAGGACAAATCATGGTGCAAAATGCTCTTAAAGATTTCTGGCTTTGACTTTCCTCTGAATGGAGGTCTGCCACTCAATAAGATATACACTATCACTCCGATGCTCCAAATATCAACTCTCTAGTCATATTGCTTCTCTTAGATAATTTCAGGGGCCATATATAAGGGGCTTCCCAGGGTTTAGCTGACTCCCTTAGCTGGGTCAAAGAAACATGCGAATCCGAAGTCAGTCATTTTGACATTCAAATTGTTGACGTCCTCATTTTCAAGAAGAATATTTTCTGGTTTTATATCTCTACAGATATTAAATTAATAATTCGAAATTATTTTAAGTGAATATATAAGCATGTTCCCTGCCTGTTAAATTGATAATATTTGAATCAAATTTTGGCAGGCCTCAACAGTCATAGCAGTATTTTACTTACCTATGGACGATATTTTAATTATGCATATATGAAACAGCAAGTAGAATTTAGTAGGTAAGAATTGCTGCATTCTTTTCAGAAAAATGCTTCATTTTAACGATTCTCTCATATAACTCCCCACCAGCAAGTAGCTCTGATACGATATAATAGTGATCTTCATCTTCTAATAACTGAATGATTTTCATTATATGTGGGTGAGTCTATATAATTGAGTTTAATAAGTCAATTTTTAAAAATGAGATGAGTGCATCTTAAGATATTTTCTAATGATAAATAACGATCGCAGTAAGTGATAGAATCAAACTACTATCCAAATAAATTTTTATCTCATCTCTTTTAATAATGTGGTTTGAGTATACTTACTGTTTCCTCCAATACTTTGAGCTCATTTTGCATAAGCTCTTCTAATATTTTATGCTCCCTAACTTTTGATTTCTCAATTATCTTTACAGCAACATCTGCTGAAGCCTTCATATGCTCAGCTTTCATTACTTTCCCAAATGATCCCTAGCCGAGTGTATTAAAGAACGTGTAATGCTTATTAATATCGTCGACCTTCTTGAAACCCCTAAAATCTTTTGAAGTTAGCATGTTCTTTAATTAGTCACCTGGTAGGAGACGGCCACGACCTGGATCTGGGTAGAAAGGCGCAGGCGGGTAGCTATTTCTCATGCAGCATGATGATAATATTGATCCCATAATGCTCTAAATATCTTTGATTATTATTTTAGGTAAATTTCTCAAATTTCTCTTTTATTGTTTCAATGTGGGGTTTTGGGGTTTTGGGG